AGAAAGAAATACCATGCTAGGGTAAAATAATATTTCTTTGAAATTAATACAACTATATTTTCCCTCCTTGATGATGTTGCTAGATTTTAGACCAGTTAGCTCAAACTCAGTGATTAAAGAGAAAATGTTTTGGTGTAAACTTCTTCTCTTATGATAACTCAAGAGGCTTGAGAGCTCCTACCCTCCCACATGTCCACGGTCCTTTTATAAACATCCCTTAATGTATGGTCGAGAGTTAGCTACAATCACTTTTACACACAGGTACATCATGCCAAAACTGAATACCAAGCATTGAAGCATATAGTTATTCTATCATTGTATTTAATATATATATATATAAATGCATGTTCATAGGTCTTTTGAAGTCAATTTATCTATTTTAATTATTCTGATGTTTAATATCAAGAATAAACATTCTGTAGCTTTCCTGTGTACAGAGTCTAAATGAGATTTTCAGAGGTATTGAAATCCACATGGATTTGGCACACGAGCATGAAACCATTCACTTGTGGCCCTATGAGATACAAACATCCTCTAGTGCGCTGGTTTTCAGGAGCCTTGGTTGCACAGTGGTTACAAGTTAGGCTGCTAACCACAAAGTCCGCAGTTCAAACCACAGTTTCACTGTGGGCTATAGACAGGGCTTTCTGCTTTAAAGAGTTACAGTCTTACAGTCTTGGGATTTCACAAGGGCAGTGCTTTGGGGTTGCTCTGAGCTGGCGTCGGTTCGATGGCAGTAAGGTTTGGAGTCCTCTTGCCTGAAAGACAGAGTAAACTGAGATGAGGACCAGGAGGGTGGAACGGTGGGACTTCTAGAACAGAGACTTGAGCCCATTAAGTTTATGATTTATTAATTTTTCACCATTTGTTTATAAACTCTTTGTAGAGACTATAGTATGGCACTCTAATGAGTTTCATCCTAAACTGATCTTATTACGTATAAGCTATTCTTTAGATAATCAAACCCAGAGATGCATGTCTTATCTCTTTGGCGTAGATCTTCTATCATAATTGAGAAACTGCTAACTTTAGACGAGAAATTGCAATTTCATTTTGTGGTTCCCTGTCTTCTCTAAACGTTATTTAGTTTAGTACCACAAGTATCCATAACTTGCATTTTCTAAGTCCACCGATTAAATATCGTACAGGATTTTATATAAAAGCATGTATGATTTAGAATGGGAACTGCAATATTCTGAAACACATTCTGCGAGCTCATAACTTTGAGTTCTCGAAAGATATATGATATAGTGTTTATTCCTTAGCAATGAAAATCTATATTTTGGGTTCTGTTAATCTGTAGTTCATTTTAACATTTAGCAACATCGCTGTCAATAATACTGCTTTTTTATTATTTTTTTTTTGTTCTTTTTTCATTTCTTGTTTTAAAGAAGAGAATTATAGAAATCTTTCCCAGCGGGTCTTAACCTGCGGGTAGTGACCCCTTTGGGGGTCAAATGCCCCTTTCACAGGGGTTGCCTAAGACCATCGGAAAATTCATAAATATTTCACAATATATAATGACATATTGTTTGTGATTAATCACTTTGTTTTAATTATGTTTAATTATATTCCATTTATAACAATGCAAATACATGCTGCCAATCAGATAGTTACATTAGGATTCATAACAGTAGCAAAAGTACAGTGATGAAGTAGCAACGAAAATAACGTTATGGTTGGGGGATCACCACACATGAGGACCTGTCTGAAAGGGTTGCAGCATGAGGAAGCGTGAGAACCACTGTTCTAGAGCTTCTCCTGGGCACTTTCTATGATGGTCATTAGCATGAAGAGTTGGCCTTTAGAGTTACAACAATGAAAACTTTAAAAGAACATCACAGTTGCCACTGTTATGCCAGTTAAATGGGTTGTTTTCTATTTACTGCTTCTCATGAGTTTCCTTCATCATGGGTGATTTAATCTGCCACTCACATTTAAATAACCTTCATCCCTCAGCTGGCACTTTCTCAATGGCTACTGACTCCTGTTGGCCACGTAGGTAGGTCATTTGAAGAGGATCAGACTTTAAGGCTTTTATATTTAGGGGTAAAGATTTCATCTTGCAGCCAATTGCCGTAATCATGAGCATGCCCACGTGTCCGCCCTTAAAGATAGATGTGTTATTGAGCATATCTATTTGAATAAGTCAAACCAGAGCTAGAGTAAGAGACTGAAGCAGGAAGTCCCAGATCATCTAAAAAATATTAAAAGTGAGGATGCATTATGTTTTCCCCAACTTTGATTAGGTTCGATGGTTGAAGATATTTATAATGCTATATTTTAAACAAGCCAAAAAAATTCCCTGCCATAGATTCCAGTGCCAACTTATAGTGACAATTTAGGACGAGATAGAACTGCCTCTAGGAGTCTCCATAACTCTTTAAGCCCAATATTTCTCTGCAAAGCTGCTTATGGTTTCGAACTGCTGACCTAGCAGATCACAGAGCAATGTGGAACCACTGTGCCCCCAGGGCTCTTCCATGCTATATTAAGTGCACAGGAAAAAACGGCGCAAGACCAGAGACTGTACATTTCCCTTAAACCCCAGACTCACCGTAATTGACCTGATAACTCATAGCAAACCTAAACTTGGGTTCCCAAGGCTTTGTAAATTTTTATAGGAGCAGTCAGTCTCCTCTTTCTCTGGTGGGTTTGAAATCGAATGCTTACTTGACAGCCCACATTTTACCTAACAGCTCAACCAGGGCACCTTGCATTTGTAAAAGAGAACAGAAATAGCAAAGGAGTAGAAAAATAAAATTACAATAGCAGAGTTACATTAGAAGTGAAAAGTAATTTAGAAGACTAAAACCCGATTGAGTGAAATAAAATGGTTAGAAAACATAACATGAACAGGGGCCTCAAGGTAAAAACAAAGTATTAGAGCAGCTGTAATTTTTTCCAAAGTTTATTAAGACCTTATTGTTGCAGAAAATATGCACAGCGAACCATTCTCCAAGTCAATGCCTTTACATGGATACTCGGTGCCATCTATTATATCATCTCTGTATTGTCCAACCATTTATTGATATCCTTCCAATTGCTCCCCCACCGTTAACATAAACTCAAGGCCCCCTAAGTGAAAAACTATTCCTCCTTCACCCAAGGTAACCATTGATCAAATTTTCTTTTTCTCTTTCTTTCTTTTTCCTTTCCTTCTTTCATAATTTTCTTGATATAAATTTCATGTATCATATGCTTCCATAGTTGTCATTTTTATAGAGTTATATACATCATCACAATCAGTTCTAATGCTCCCTCCCCTCCCCCCCACATTTATTGTCCTCCCCAATTCCCCTCACCCTCTCCACCCCAGTCACAGATAAGCCATCGTGTCAGTTATTGTCTCTGTTCATTTATTCCTTACATGTTTCATAAACGGGGAAAACTCTCAGAAACACTAAAAAGACAAAACAAAATGAAACACAAAGAAGAACAAATATCAAAAATAGTATAAAGATAGAAATTAAAATAGGGAGTAAGAAAGAAAATACCATAAAAAATATTTTAAAAACCAGAGAAGAAATTTCTGTTGTGGAACAAGTGAGAAATATTGAAGCCTAGGGCAAATTCAGGTTGGATCACGAGGGAGGGCAACTGACCAGGTATCATATTATGCCATGGTTCTATCCACCACAATCAAGTTTACAGTCATCTCTGTCTGATAGTAAAGCTGGTTGAGTCCCTTGCCTGTGGCGAGTGGACCTGTTAGAGACTTTATCAGACTAGACACTGTGCAGATGGATTTTGAGCTCCCTCGTCCTCCATACCCTACTACAAATTGGGTGTTCACAATTCAAGCTCTGATAGTTTTTTTCTTCATCATATTTGGATTTTGTTATTATCATTTTGAATCACACAGGCTAGTGTGCTTCTTCAATGGGGATTTAATTGATGCCTATCTTAGATGGCTGCTTGTTTGAATATAAGCTGCTAAGACCCCAGACACTATTCCAATAGAGAGCAGGGCACCATCTGCTTTCTTCACCACACTTAACAGTAGCACCGTGATATTCAGTGATCTCTTGACAAAGGCAAGTGTCCAGTAGGGCCATATTATGAGAACTAATTGTTCTTGGATGGGGGATAAAATTACATGGGAGCCCTGAGTCCACCTGCTGGTCCGTAGGTTATGAAAGACTGGTTTACTTTCGCAGTAAACCTTCACAATTAGTATAACGGCCTTTGCTATAATTGGGCCATACTCTGATGCTTACAGTCTCTGATAGCTTCTGACCCTCTTCAAGGATTTATTTGACGACACTGTGAATTCTTTCACATATGTCAACATGTGGGTGAATCTGAGATAAAAGATAATAATTGGTCTTGAAGCTGTAGTCTGACTATCCCACTCTAGAAACAGTCTCTTAGTCTGTGACCTCGCTCAGAAGCTGTGTCTGTCCCCACGGTTTCTGCCTCATTCGGTGTTCTGAAGAAGGGGGTTCTCGGGTCTGGCAGGTATCACTCCGTGAATTTGGATGCACCTCACTGGGTGGTGTCGGTCATCGCAGTCCGTGATCTCCTGGAATCCTCACCTGTTGGACATTTTCTCCTTACTTGACAGTCATTGAAAACTTTCATGAATAAAAATATGTCCCTTCTTTATTCCAGCTCTTTAAAAAAATTTCTTTCAGTTCCATTGTGAAAAGTTTCAACCAGACTTTTGGAAATGGCAACAAATCTTATATTTTGTCCAACTTCTTTGTGGCAGAACTTACTGTCCTTGAAATAAAACCAATGATTTCAAATCTACTTACGTCTGTAAGATCCGTATGCACCTGGTCTGATTTACCTACAAATTCTTAACAACGGCATTCAAAGTGGATCTTGTTCAGGCCTCGAGGTGCTCCCTGTATCTGAGAACTTGAGAAAAGGCATGTACTTTCATATTGTGTTAATTAAGATACTGACTCACCTGCGACATTTGCTGTGAGGAGGAAAACTAACTCTGATTCATTATCTTTACATATATTTTTCGTACTACTCTCATTCTAAAGGCCATGGACAATGTAATTGTGGAAGATGTGACTGCAAAGTCGGTTGGTATGGGAGGAAGTGTGAACACCCACGATCCTGCCCGCTGCCAATGGAGGAGAGCATCAAGAAGTGTCGGGGGAGCTCAACTCTGCCCTGCTCCGGAAGGGGTAAGTGGGCACTCCCAGGCCTGCTCAACGACTGGCCTCGAATCCTGGGAGGGAACTGAACTCCATTCATATGTATATATTTCAGTCATATATATAGTTATATATTATATTTATATATACTTTTATATATTGTTTTAAAAAGCTAAGATTCTAGACTAAAGGAAGATTAATTAATTAGCCTTTTCAGCATTAATAATAGTTCTACTTTCCAGGAGGAAAACACACGGAGGGATATATTGTTCTCACTCATTTTTATCCTAGTCTTGGTTTTGAGGTCGGTACCAAATCCATTCAGTGAAACTCTGTGTGTGTGTGTGTGTGTGTGTGTGTGTGTGTGTGTGTGCTAAAAGTGCGCTCAAAGGGATCTGAATGAGACTGCCTAATTATCCACTGACATTTCTAAAACCAAATAACATTGTTTACAGGAGATTGTTGGCTTTTGAAAAAAAAATGTTGTTGCTTTGAATAAGCTGTTTTTGTTTTAGAGATCATGTAGCCTCAGGTGTGTTCTTGGTACATGCTAAGCACAAATTGGAGGAGAGAGGAGAACTCATCTGGTTTCATTCCTTTTGATTTATCAAAATAAGAAATACAATTTCACCTTTCAGACAAAAATAGCAAAGTTAATATGAAATATGCTTTCAGTGAAACAGGTAATTGAAGTTACTACAAATTTTGTTCTCAAAAAAAAAGAAAGAGATACAGGCTTTCTTTGTCTCAATGTTAGAGCAGAAATGTGCAGTTCCTATCTGTACCAGTGTGCATCCTATGGTCTAGTCTAGAAATTTCACTTTTTCCCCAGTTTTTAAAATGTATTTTAAATGGGTATAATTCACATATCGTAAAATTCACCATTTGAAATGAGAAATTTATTGACATTTAATATATTCACAGAATTTTGTAACTATCACCACTAACCCCAAAATATTTTCATTTTTGGTAAAAGAAGCCCGATAGCTCTGAGCAGTTACTTGACATTGTATCTCTTCTCCTAATCCCTGGAAATGACTAAACTGCTTTCTGACTGCATGCACATTTTATATAAATAGAATCATGCACATGTCTTCCTGTCTGTCTCCTTCATTAAGCATAATGTTTCAGGTCCCTCTGTCTCATGGCATGAATACTACAGCTTGCCTTTTTATGGCTTAACAATCTGCCATTTTATAGCTCTGCACGGTATTGTCTTTTTATCAATTAGTGGGCATTGGTAATGTTGCAGTCTTTCGTATAACTCATGCTGTTATGAACATTCCTGGGCAAATCTTGGGTGGCATGTGGTTTTATGTATCTCTCATACTGAATCCTACAGTGAATTTGGTATCTAATAGTTTGAGGAATTTCCAAACCACTTTTATGATGACTACACAACTTAGGAAATATTTTTTGTCGTGATAAGTATATAACCAAATAAAAACATTTGTTATTTCAAAAATTTTGATCTGTGCAACTCAACACCATTAATTATATGCCTCAGGTTGTTCAACTATCACTACTATTCATTTCTGATTTTTTTTAATCACTCTTAGAAGAAACTGCATGCCCCCTAAACAAAGACTTCCCCCCACTCCCATCTCTGCTAACTACTAAAATCCTCCAGTTTCTATATATACGTGTGCCACTCTAAGAATTTGAGATAAGTGGGTTCATACGACAATTGTCTTTTTATGACTGAATTATTATTACACTTAGCATCTTTTCAGGTTCATCCATGTTTTAGCAAGCATCAGAATTCAACCTGGTTTGGGTTTTTTTGTTTGTTTTGCATATTTGTACATATGTTACCATCATTATTTTCTGGACATTTACTTTCTTTTTTTAAAATCGTTTTATTAGGGGCTCAATACAACTCTTATCACAATCCATACATACATCAATTGTGTAAAGCACATTTGTACAATCATTGCCCTCATCATTTTCAAAACATTTGCTCTCCACCCAAGCCCCTGGCATCAGCTCCTCATTTCTTTCCTCCTTCCCCGCTCCCTCCTCCCTCATGAACCCTTGATAATTTACACATTATTATTTTGTCATATCTTGCCCTGTCTGATGTTTCCCTTTACCTACTTTTCTGTTGTCCATCCCCCAGGGAGGAGGTTATATGTAGATCCTTGTAATTGGCTCCCCCTTTCCAACCCACCCTCCCAGTATCGCTACTCACACCACTGGTCCTGAGGTGATCATCCATCCTGGATTTCCTGTGTTTCCAGTTCCTATCTGTACCAATGTACATCCTATGGTCTAGCCAGATTTGTAAGGTAGAATTGGGATCATGATAGTGGGAGGGAGGAAGCATTTAGGAACTAGAGGAAAGTTGTATTTTTCATCGATGCTACATCGCACCCTGACTGACTGGTCTCCTCCCTGAGACCCTTCTGTAAGGGGATGGCCAGTGGCCTTCAAATGGGCTTTGGATCTCCACTCCACACTCCCCACCTCATTTACTATGATAAGAATTTTTGTTCTGATGATGCCTGATACCTGATCCCTTCGACAACTCATGATCGCACAGGCTGGTGTGCTTCTTCCATGTGGGCTTTGTTGCTTCTGAGCTAGATGGCCGCTTGTTTAACTTCAAGCCTTTAAGACCCCAGATGTTATATCTTTTGATAGCCAGGCACCATCAGCTTTCTTCGCCACATTTGCTTATGCACCAATTTGTCTTCAGCAATCGGATCATGGAGGTGAGCACACAATGATATGATTTTGTTCTTTGATGCCTGAGAACTGATCCTTTTGGCACCTCGTGATAACACAGGCTGGTGTGTTCTTCCACGTGGGCTTTGTTGCTTCTGAGCTAGATGGCCGCTTGTTTAACTTCAAGCCTTTAAGACCCCAGATGCTATATCTTTTGATAGCCGGGCACCATCAGCTTTCTTCTCCACATTTGCTTATGCACCCGCTTTGTCTTCAGTGATTGTGTCTGGAAGGTGAGCATCATAGAATGCCAATTTAACAGAACAAAATATTCTTGCATTAAGGGAGTACTTGAGCGGAGGCCCAATGAATGTCCATCTGCTATCTGCTTTTTATGACAAACATGATGTTAAATGTATACACTACATATTGTTTAGCTCTTGGTAGGCATTTAGGTTGTCTCATTTTTTGTCTATTGTGAATACTTCAATGAACATCAGTGTACATAAATCTGCTTGTTTTCCTACTTTTAATTCTTCCAGATATACATTAGGAAGGAAACTGTATATTTAGGAATGAAGTTGCTAAATTATTTGGCAAATCTGTGCTTCCATTTTTGAGAGCCCTTCAAATCTTTCCCTTGAAAACACTACCATTTTGTAATTCTAACAGCAATGGATAAGAATTTCAGTTTCCCACACACTCACTGATATCAGCTGGTATTGTGGTAAAGCAATCAACCACTAACCAGAGGTTGGTCCTTCAAAGCCACCAGTCACCCCTCCAAAGAAAGAAGTAGTATTTGACTGTGTGGTCCTAAATTACAGACAATTTGGGGAAGAATAGGGACTCCAGCACACTTCATTGGGCTTAGGCAAAAGCCATACATAGACAAAGAGACAGTTGTTCAAACAGAGAGAGTAAGGGGATCCGGCATGTGTTAAAAACACGAAAGGTAGGCATCCGAGTTGCCTTCTTTTACCGTATTTATTCTATCTGTATTCTGAGAAATCTGAGTAGCTAGACTATATTACAAGGAGAGCAGCACCTGAGCCAGAGGAAGACGCATTAATAACTTGCACTGTGCTGATGACACACTATAGAATGCTAAAAGCAAAGAGGGTTGGAAAGACGGAGGCAAAAAGCTACAGGCTTCAGTGTGGATAACACCTCAACATGAGAAAACAAAAGTTCTCCCAACTGTACCAATAAACTACAATAGACATGGAAAAGATGGAAATTGTTGAATATTTTCATTTGAATCCACATTCAATGCTCATGGAAGCAACTCTTTAAAAAAAAAATCATCCAGTGATATATTTCCTTCAGCAAGTCTGCAAAATAGTCTGTTTATAATGTGATTATAAAAACAAAGAGGCCACTTTAAGGACTAAGGTGCTCATGGCCCAAGTCCTTTTCCTCAGCTCACATGCTTGTGAAACTGAACGGTGAGTGAAGGGCACTGCTGAAGAGTTAATGCATTGGCATGTTGATGCGGGACATTGACAGTGCTGCAGACTGCCAACAGAATCAACAGATCTGTCTTGGAAGAAGTACAGCCAGAATGTTCCCCAGAAGCAAGGATGGAAAGACTTCACCTCACATACTTAGACCTGCGTTCAGAAGAGACCAGGCCCGGCAGAAGGATATCATGACTGGTAAAGTAGAGGATCCAATAAAAGAGAAAGCGCAACCAGGAGCTAGATTGACTGACAGTGGCTGGGTAAGTGGGCTCAAGCAAAGGAATGATTGTGAAGCACAGGAATAAGGAATGTTTCCTTCACTGTACAAAGAGTCAGGATGAGGAAGAACAGGCTGGACCCAATCTAGGAGCAGCATCAACAATCTATTAAAGCCTTGGAAACTAGGCAGTGGTGTTCAACCTTCCTAATGCCACGACCTTTGATACAGTTTCCCCCAACCATAACATGTTTTAATTGCTACTTCATAACTGTTAATTTTGCTACTGTTATGAATCGGGCAACACCTGTGAAAGGGTTGTTCGACCCCCAAATGGGTCATGATCCACAAGTAGAGAACCGCTGGCCTAGAGGGTAGTTCTCTTCCACCCTATCATCACTGTTAACGCAGGCTAAATATTAAAAAGTGAGCCAAAGCCAATGTCATTTAATCAATACGGATTCACAGTCACCCTCCAAGACAGAAGAGAATAGCTTTTTCCAGTTTTAGAACTGTAAACCTTTGTGACGGCAGACAGTTTTATCGTTCTCCTGTCGAGCATCTGGTGGGGTTGACAAACTGACCCTGCCCTTAGCAGCCCAGTGACTCACCCACAGCCACACTAGGGATGCGTATCAGCTATATAATTTCCACAAGTTTTCTATGTATATTTAGGTTATCCT